TATTAAGGAACTTAGTGTGATCGAAGTTCATAAAGAATATGCCGTAATAAATATATAGTAGTTTTCAAGAAAGACAGTTAAAAGAAGGAACTAGTGAGCTTGTGCTCCAATAACCAAACGAAGAATTCAAAAACGAAGAATTCAAGATGAATTCATATCACTGCTTTGATTGTTGTAAGCACCTGCTTAACTTTGTGTGTTTATTATGGGGATTAATTACAATCTGTTCATTATTTATATGGGATTTATGGTTGCCTTCGCTAAAAAACTATGGAAAAGCTTAGCTTATATCAAGTTATGTGCTTTCAATGAAATGAAGAGTAAAAATAATAATTTCAACTTTCGTAGCTTCGTTGACATAAATAATTAAAATATACCGGTATCTTGGATGTGGCTCATGAATGTGATTATGGTTATCACATTTATAATTTCTTTGATTTGTTTGGTTGGTGTATTGAGCGGTTTTATTAGCATAATGGCAGGTTATTGGTGTTCTAGCTTGTGTATTATATCAGTCATTTGTTTTGCGTTTTAGGGCTCGTAATTTGTTTATTGATCTTATCTACCAAGCATATATTAGCATATATTAGCTCCAGCCTAGTCATCAAACGCACGACGGAAACACTGTTGTTATACTGTGAGCCACGATATACAAGAAAGGAAATCTACCTGGTTGGTTTTCCTCAAGGTCAAATGCAACGAAGATAATAGTGTTTGCAGGCTGACACATTTCCTCACTCACAATACGTGCAGCTTCCAAGAGTCCGGCCATCGCAGAACCATTGTCGTCGACACCAGGTGTGGTAGATACTGTATCAAAATGAGCTCCTAATGAGCTAACTTGGTCATCCCCAGTACCTCTCCGGATTCCCGGTAAAATGCCTATTACATTAGACCCACGATATGTGTCCTGTTGAGAGTGAATTTTCCATAAAATATTTATGTAATGGTTACATTGACAGTTGTTGTCAGTTTATATTGATAAAATAATGTATCCTCGGGGGCGGAGCTACGTCACAGAATGTTCTACGTTGCTAAGACACGCACCCCTGTATTTCTATGGACTACTGCTGTGGAACGCCGGTCGATCAGCTGGTGAAAAACGGCTAAAGTCGAGCAAATGGCACAAACTCAAATGAGCAACCATATTTATATATGTTGCACACGTATGAATAGTCTTGTTACACTGTTCATGGGGGTCTCAACAACTATCTCAAAGTTTTCTGAAAGTTTTCGGCCTTTATTTTCACCGCGATGGTTGCCAGACGGTGAAATTGCTCGCATGTCCGTCCGAGACTTGGTTATATCAGGAGAACAGTGAACATAATTTAGTCAGGGAATGGAACGTGGCTTTCTAGTTCTCAGTGAGATCTCAACGGTCTTTTACAAACAAAGCCTAAGAGCTTGATAAACTATAACCACTCAACCATTTTATTAGGTTTCGTGGAGAAGGAAGCTGTACTTACGTTTTCCCCAACAAATTCTTGCGTTTCCACTACGTAACCGTACTGGATTAAGGTATCTTTGATAAAATCAAAGCTGAAGAGCTTATGATCCGGGTTAGCCTCGTGGTGTCTGTTCTTGCTAAATACATCTTCTAGGAGCGTTTGCAAATTAGTCGCTAACTGCACTGGATCATTGGAATCCGCACACGTTACTAAAATTGGGAACACCATAGCTTACTATTGATGCTGTATTGACCTATACATTATCACACGATATTTCATATATATATATATATATGTTTAATTCTTTTAAAAGATTCCACTCATTAATAAATAGCTCCCTCACTCAACAATAATAAGAATGAGTGGTTGGTCAAAAGTTTGATGAGTCATCAGGTGCATCTATTGACTGAGCTTTGTGTACATAGATGCAAATGAGTATAGGAACCATTAATGCTGTAGGGTGTATTGGGAGGGGTGGAGGATTTCATGTTTGTAATAAGTAGTTGTAATGTGCTATCTCGTTGTTTTCAGGATGCAGCCTGATATTTGTTGCTCCTTTGATTGTTCAATTATGACTACAATTTTTGTGGTGAATGGAAGATGTGTTTAGTGTTTGTTGGGTCATTGTTTAGACACCCTGCAGCTTGAAATGGTATGATTCAAATCTAAATTTGAAATGGCGGTGTCTTCTAATAACATGGCATCAAAATGATTTCTGTTTATTTATTTACTGTTGTAGATCCTGAGAACTAGCCACTGAATATGATGTCGGGAATAAATGGTATTCTGAACAAGCTTTATTAATTATTGCTGGCAATATTCCAATATGAATTGGGAACAAACTGTGACACCAAATCTAGTCGTTGTATTGTTATGCTTCTAAAATATTTTTTTCAAATGTCTTTAAACAGATTCAAATATAAGGATATTGATTGTAAAATATTAAGGTTAAATAGTGTCCAACAAATTAATTTATAAATGGTAAATTGATTTCAAAGGATTCAGTGAAAATATTATAAAATAAAATAAATTAATTATGTGTATTTTTGTATGTGGAAACTTGGCTGGCCCACTTAGAAATATAAAGATGTGAGGTCTGCAGTTTGTTTGTTTTGTTTTGTTATTTGTGAAAAAAATGGTATTTTAAAGACTGCAAACAATAAAACACTCACAGTGCAAGGCTAGTTCACCAACATGTCTATTCTCTTTTTAAAGATTAGAATTTCTTTTCTTTGGGAAAGTTTAGAACATATATATATATATATATATATATATATATATATATATATATATATATATATATATATATATATATATATATATATATATATATATATATACCAAAGCGAGAATCATGTTGGTTACTCCTAGGGAAAACGCAAATACAATCAATAGATAGTATTATGCAGTATGTGCTGATTAATGATTGATTCCATTCGTAATGATGTGTTTAACCAAACAGTTCTATCATAAAAAGTATACGTATTTGTCTGTGCCAAGTCGAACCTATTGGCTTTTGTTTCATGTGATTTTGCACTGAATTGTACCAATAATGATTTCAAAATAAGAGTTTTGTTCAATCCCACGCTGTCCTCAAAAGGAAGTATACATCATCCCAGTCAATGCAGAACGTCCAATATGAATCCCATGTAAGTTAAACAACGCGTGTACAATACATTGTTTGTATAGACTGTGTATTTAGATACACATCTAAGTTTTTCCCACTATCTACCACTTAATCGTATATAGCTAAATATCACAAATATCAGGTTCCACACGACGATATTTAATTAAGCCTTATAATGGCATTATTTACTCCCAAACATATACTGTTTCTGTGGAAAATTGCATTGTATTTCATGGCACTGTACATGTAATATGCTCGTGCACAAACTGCACTGAGAACAGTGACATGTCATGAACTGGGGAAAAAATATAATATGAATAAAGTATAAACAACTAAATGACCGCCAATGGATGGTTTAGATAACACATATCGTACACTAAATTCAACCCTTTATGGAAATCTACGAATTTGTTGTCTTTGGCATAATTAGTGCATGTACAAATACTTACGTTGAGCTCATTTGTATGGCTCATCAGATAACCAGACTATTTACAGATAATCAATGTGTGTACGAAGATCATTGTGATTAATCAGGGTTGAAAGAGTGCGTTACACTTTGAGCTAATATGTATTATGGTATCAATGTCAGGATTAACTTAATTCTAAAACACTAGAAAACACAATTGACGCACTAGAATACTGTACTTTATATATCATGGTTGCCATGAAGCCAGTGGCCATTCAGTTTACTTGAAGTAAGGTATACATACGTAGAACAAGGTTTGTCACGTACAAGACAATCATGGATGACTCCCATCCTAGTGTAAAGGTATAATTCTGCAGTATCTGTGAGGTTGTTATGTAAGTTTCTGCGAAACCGCATTCTAATTGAAAACTGCATGTCAAAGGGGCTTGCGTGTAAGCAAATAGGTATGAGAATCCTCACTTCAAAAGCAATGTACTGAGAATGCTTTACGTTATCACTTATCGCACTCCACCTGCCCGCTCGTATCGTTGTCATAACATATGATTTGTATACTCTGTATACGGACTTAACACTTACCCACAATGGGCAGCAACATTACCAATACTGCTCTCATATTCATTACTTTATCCGAGTCGACGCCAGGAGAAAACAATTTCACACAATACTCGGTGATCAACAGCCGCGCACCTCTACTAAATAAACTCTACACGAGTAGCTGATGTTTCCGTTGTCGCGACAAATATAGACAAGTGATGGTCCTTAACATTCCAAAATCTCACTGCATAAAGTGTCCACCTAGAGGTGGCTTGTCTGATGTTGTGCTCGTTATATTACATGTCATATCTTTATGGTTCAGTACAATCTACGATAACCAAGATATCGATGTAATCTGTAAAATGAATGGTGTCGCTCGTTCAAGATACAAGTTCACGGCGTAGATTACTGAATAGGCATTCTTCTGTCAACACACTTTAAATATGGCTTGATATGAGTATAGCCTCGATGGTCCTTACGCACATACTATTTATTTATTTATTTATTTATTTATTTATTTATTTATTTATTTATTTATTTATTTATTTATTTATTTATTTATTTATTTATTTATTTATTTATTTATTTATTTATAGAATTCAGCGTAGCACTCTGCCAACAATTTAGATTCCTCGATTGCTGAGATGTAATATTTATTTAATTGTTTGCTTGTTATTGCGTGCGCGACTCGTCTGTGCGCAAGTGAGTGTGGCGTCCATGCCTGCTGCCCGCTTTCTTTCTTTTTTCTTGCCTGATTGCTTATGTGAGTGTGTTTGTTTATTATATATTTTATTTGTTATTCCCACTCATCGGAAATAATACACTCTCCTGCCCCCAGAGGACAACTCTAGATCACATAAATTATTGTAATTAATTAGACACCATAGACAATACTACACACGCTGTCGTGATACAAACAGAATATAGCGTGCACAAACAACCCCTAATAATGCTATTGACAGACTCTTTATATGCAAACGCACGTCATAATACATAGTGTTTTGAAGAAGAAAAAACGTTTTCCGAAGTTCCACTTAGAGCTGAATCCAAAAACACGCAGTCGGTTAAAAATGTGATCCAAATATTTACCCGTGTATATTATTCCAATAAAATATACTTCAATATATGACAAAACAATTTAGGTAGCATAATGTAAGGCCAGACCAAACAAAAATCTTGTTCATCGTTTTTTTCTTGTAAAAACCTTGGAGCGGCGAGCGATTTTTTTTTGGGGGGGGGCTTAAAAGTTGAAAATGTCTGATCCAAATTCACAGAGGTCGACGTTTTTTCGGCATTAAAACATTTCCACCCTCACGGCATACACAGACTATAACGTTAAAGGGCGGTAGTCGTCGCGCCACGCATGTGCGAGATATGTGGGTCTCATATAAACAAAGATGGTGACTTTGACTGTTGCAGATCAACGAGTACGAACTGAGACGTTACCAAGCTTTAATTAGATGATTTGAAGGTATCGAAGGAGTCACCGGCGGTAATCAGTGCAAGTCGTACCTTGGTTAAACCTCACACCGCATTGGATTGTGGGGGAAATCAATATTTATCAACACAAATGTCGCACATGCGCAGCACGACGACCATCTAGCTTTAATACTCATCTTGTAAGTTCTTTATTCGATGTATTAACCATCATCCAGGAAACAAAATCGATGAAGCAATGAAGACAAAAGATAGCAGTCGTTACTGTCATGAATACAGCAGCGGACCAATCGTATGAATGAGTTTTGGGGACACACAGACAACTCTCGGCCTGAAGTCGCTGTGTCGTCACAGGGAGCGCTGTCCCAGCACAGACCTGTAGATCGGTGTAGGAGATGCCGACCTGCAGCGTCAATGGCCTGAAGTATCACACTTAACTTAGCGCCGCCAACGGTCAAGTTAATTTTTAACGCAAATTCAAAAATCAAATCAAAATGCGATATGATAGGTACGCGCGGGTCCGATGAACAAGTAATTTTTTTGGGCTGGTCTAATGATTATATATTATTAGTTGCACAGTTTGTAAAAAATAGCAAAATATACATGGAATAATAACTAGTTATCTTTCAAATGAACATAAATTGGATGATTCTGCTCTCATATTGTATGTGCTTTTCTTAGACTACAACATCATCGACATTATATTTATCTTCATTTTATTTAACGGTTTTCTCAAATTATACTATTTAACCAGCAAACTGACACATATGTTCACTTTACATTGTATTCGCAGTCATTATAATAGAAAACAGTAAGTGTAATATACATACTTTTTATTTCTTCATTGGGCCATGTGATCAACGAATTCGCGGTCTTCGATTCTCAATGGTCAGCTCCTAATCAGTTGTCCCCGAATTCAGCGCGGCGTCCTGTCAGTGTCACAATTAACGCTTACAATAATTTTCTCTATCAGTATCATTGCAAGAGGGCGATATACAAGACAAATCACTTTTAATGTTGTGATTTGACATTCAATAATTATCCTATATATTAAACTAGTACAAATTTTGATATAGGATATTATATGCAGCGATACATTGTCTACGTTGTGCCATATCATGTCGTATAAGTTTACATAAGTGTTTAGCGACAAATAAACCTAACATCGCGTTCTCGTTTTATCTAGTGTTGATTTGTTTGTTTCACGGCAGCGCCAAGGTAATACTATGAATTATTTGTTAATATTCCGATCACTGACCCCCCCCCCCCCACACACACACATATATATACAAGTATTGATATGTGCTACATTTGTCAATAGACTGAACAACTACTCTGTGTTTTTCTCTATTATTGCAGCTGGCTACGCGAAATGAATTGAGTATCAGTAATACAAACGTACTAACATGGACACTGGGATTTTGAAAAGAACACGATGCACGCGTGAAACAACAATCATTATTATCACAATAATATTTGATAGAAATTACATTTTCTGGTTACTCATATTAATATATATATATATATATATATATATATATATATATATATATATATATATATATATATATATGACGACGGATGGATAATGTAAGAGTACCTTTCATACTTTGAGAGGACTACAGTGATTGGGCATTGTGCAATCATTGAACAAAGATATTATTAGAATCAATAGAACATAGAACATATAACATTATACAAATGTTCACCCCAACCGAGGTGGACATACAGTTTTAGCGACCCGAAAAGCTCATTGTCAACCGAGGCGAATAAATCTTAAAACAGAAATTGTGGCACTCAGAATCATGGCAATCTTACAGGTCCCGCTCGTAAAGCTGAATGCGTGTATGAACATAGTTGAAAGAGTTAGCGATTGAATTTTATTGAGTTTTATTATGGACGCCATTTTACTTTCATGGTTGTATTGATAAACCTAATTTCAACAGCTTCAGCCTGGCGAAGAATTGATAAACAAATCCAGCGCCATCATGTGTGTAGCTATAGGCTACACTGCATTCCAGTTCGCATTAGAACACTGAACGAGCTGCACACTGCTCGAGTATAGTTTTATGTCAACACCATTCTCTTATCGATATACAGCATATATAGGTATACTGTCAAAACACATAAATACGTAACAAAATCAAACAAAACGGTCCAAAAATTCCACGACGCTCAATTTTATTTAGGTAGACGAACTGCCAGTGCGCGATCGCAGACCGAATGTCAAACGCTGGGTGCGCCGGCAAAACGCACGGCAAGTGCGACTAAACATCACGCGAAATCGTTACAAAATCCCAGTTTTCTTCCCAATAAGATAGTCAAATAGTGAACACAAACCTGGTAGACTAATCAGTTCACAAATATCGCCGCGTATCGTGTTCCCCTGGCAAGTTAGTTGCGTATATCAGGTAAATTCAGGAGGAAGATACCCGGATGGAGGTAGACATACGGATATGGCAGCAGGTCGACACACGAATATGCAATGCGCGAATCTGATTGGCTGTCATGGTCATGAGGTATAATAATGAACAATGTTACTCAAAGTTTGCTGTCTGTCTTATGTCATGGTTGTGGCAGCCGCAGCAATTGATAGTAACACATAAAGACACATTTATAAACTAAAGGAAAAAGTAAACAATATGACCAGTAACTCTCTGTTGTGTTTCAGCAATGATCACTCTTAATACATAGACAGCCCAGAGGTTCATATATTGTTCACCTTAAACGCGAACGGCCTCCGAGATCTCGTTGAGATCGATTGTATTCTCGTTCAAAGAATCTGATTCAAATTAGATAATACGTCAATATAAATGCGCGTTTCATTGTAGTAATATGCGTTTTGTTCACATACAACAGAAGCATGGTATTTGAAAAAGTGTTTAGAAGCGCCATTAAAAATTGGTCATGAAAACTACCTAGTAAACCAAATATGGTCACTATCGTGATGTCAAAGGTCATTTATGTCACGACAACAAGAAATGTAACACAGGATTTATTCAAATATTAAATTTAGTATCTATAATAATGAATAGTTGCAGCTATTTAAACAAGTTTGGTCGAAATGCAAAGTACCAATAGCAACCCTGCCAAAAATTATGCTCCTTGTAAAATAAAACGTAATCCGGTTATAGCTTTTTAATGATGTAAAAATAGTAAAAACCTTGTACTCAAAACTGATAGATTGGTATTTAAATAGGATCCCCTACTCTATATCCATATTAATTACAGCAAGAAGCGTATTTTTCATGCGTATGAAACAATATGGAACTTACACTGACCTTCAGCAAGGAGGTCACACAACGTCCATGATATAAATGCAATATATACGAAAACCCGAGCGAACTAATGGATCAGAGGACAAATATACGGGGGAGTCGTCACCTGCGCATGCGTTAGATGGTCATTGTTTACAAACAAGCGTCTACCCATGAGCCTTTTTTTTAGCATGCGTCGCTTAGGACTCAGTTCCCACGTGTGGGCAGGTGACGACCCCTCCGCTTTAACATCCGTCTTGGGACGCATCTGTTCTTGATACTTAGACGGTAGCGTTGTTACAGAGATCAACAATTGTTTTCCAACAGTCTTATTGCGCCTGCTTCTTCCATAGCTTGAAACAACTTGACCTCTGCCAATTTATGTTTCAGGTACAAGAGTGTAGCATTCGATAGCTGAATTGGAGAATTGCCGGCTTCCCTGTTTCGAGGCACAAACCCGTAGACATCCACCGAGTCGCATAATAACGTTGCCATGGTGAATGTAATGAAAGCGTCACCCAACGTTGCATTCCAGATTCTATACACAGCAAAGGTTGGAACGAATTAACATACGAATGATATATTTATATGCTAAATATTAATAATGCAACTTTAATTAGCTAATGATATTCGCTACAACTGCATCCTAATTGGGGCTCATTTGTTTATGAATTTTGTAAATGATTAAATCATTGTATGGTGTCTATCTTCCTTTAAATTTTTAACAGTAGTCGGTTATTCACTCGACGACGATGACGATTGCTAAATCCGATGTAAGAAGTTCAAGGGAGAATGGAGTTTTGAACCGAAGAATTGTTTCACTGGCAGGTGTTTGTGTTTGTTATTCAAAACTGTGAACTGTTATTATTTTATAAAATTAAACATTAATCTGTGTTGTTGTTTTTTTCGCATCATCTGCAATGCTAACTTACCTATTTAGTGTCTCGTGGGAAATTGGAACTGGTGCGTACGCAATACGAAATGGAAGTTTCCTTTTGTCTTTCGTCTCTGTTAGAAAGAATGTCAAGTTGCGTTTTACGTCCGATGTTAGCGTGTAGGGTAGCCATACAGTTGAGCTGCCCATTAGTTCAAATTCTTGTAGAGATGAGCCGTCCGTGGTGTTCTGGGAATTTGATATGACTTTTGTTAATTTATTATTATAGTATTTCACGGTGTTTGGGTTAATGACTGTAAGGTTTGTTTTCCAGCCTATTTCGCTTTCGAATCCTTTCAACACATTCACTCGCATCACGAAATCGTGATCATCAATGGCGTGGCCACATCCGCGTAATAGATGAATCTTGTCCCCGACGAGGGCGCAAGACTTCTGCCTTTCGAGAGAGTAAAAGTTGTTTTCGTATTCATCCCGGAGATTTGGTGGTACCGTTTCGCCCATAGGCCATTGATTTTGGTGAAATGTCATCTGCGAGACTTTTACGTCATCCCTATATGTAGCCAAAATCGATTCCAAGTCCAACCACGAGGAAACGTTCTCCCTGCAAAAAAGAAAAGAAATATAATAACGTAATCGGCGAAACTTAGTGTGCAATGGTCAGTGTCGATTTACCAAAACGATTTGTTTTAATAATATATCACTGCAAAACGGAATTTAAAATACTGATGGGGTGCCGTTTGTGCATTTATTTGTCAAGCGGTTTTCGTGGGGTTTGGTTTTTTATATGTAAACATGCGACAATGTTTTCATTATTAATAAATTTCAAATTAATTGTATGGAAATTATCAGTTAACGTACTAGTTTTATTTATAAATAATGCGATTAGTACAATATATTTATGTACACTTTATTATTTATAAATAATTTTACATTCATTACTTAAATGTTATTCATTATTTTTATTATGCAATTTTATACAAACAATTGTGTGTGATTCATAATTAGAAAGGTGTTACATATCATGTATCGAATTATAGATTTATCATCGAAATAATTTATTTGACAATTAAAATAAAGAAACAACGAATCGTGTTACTAAGATACACAGTTTACTATTAAAAATCTATAATTCACATCTTGCCTTATTTCCATCAATGAGAAGTTCTGCTTACAATCCACACATACAGCCTGTCTGTTTCCAATCGCCTTAGCATGAAGACCAGTCTTTGTCACATGTTTAATGATGTCATCGATTATCTGAGTGCTAAGGGAAAGAAAATATCAACGTACACACACCAATAGTGCATGATTGTGAGGTTGTCGCGATTTGTTCCCTGTCCCATATTTGTTGGTTATTATCCTAATATTGATGCTGTCTAAGCTAAAGGGTACACACATCATTTCAAGAGACATGGTCATAAGCCGTTATCGTATGCAGTGCGTTCGATTCCCATATCAAAAGTATATTTTCCACGCCCTATATACGCCGAACCAGGCCTATTTCAAACACGACACGGAGCCGGTATTGTGTCGATTTCAATCATTTCATTCAACTCGAAGTCACGTTTCATTACAAATTTCACAAAAGAACTGCCTGATTTGTTTTATTAGGAAGTAAACATGTCCATAATATTATTTATAAAACATATTGATGACTATCTCAGTACAATAGCAGTTGTGTGTGATATACAACTACGTGTTAATTGCTCTTATGGAAGTAACCCTGCGTGCCACAGGGATCACATCGGCTACACATGCTGTATGCACAATATCCAGCACAACACTGCCGCAATCACGCTTCACCAGTAAATACAATGAGGCATGCATAACACCCACAGTGACGTCCTGTATTTATATTCATTGCTCTCTACAAAATATTAAAACAATAATGACTAAATAAAATCTGGAATATATCTACACCGCGTATTGGACATGACCGAGAAAGAATGGTGATACACATACAATTCTACATGCATGTACAACGAATTTACTCTTACCCGTTAGTAGATTGAGTCGTTGTCTTGCGTACGAGTCCAGAGGTGTCCACCAGATAAGATATAAGCCGAACCCAAATTGCAGCTATGATTAGCAGTACAAACAAGGTCCTTAGTTTGTAACTGTATCTATGCCAAAATACATACATGGTGTGCATATATACGATCAGTACCAGTTATTTTCACCGGTGGTAGAAAGATATGATGTTGTCAGCAGTCAGCATGTTACCGGCAGTCACTCCATCGAGTGTTTACTGAGCACGATAACACCAGTCATCCGCAAATAAACACATGTGTCGGATTATAATATACAGTATATTCTGCTACTGTAAATGAAACGTATTTTTGAATCAGTAGCGCCTGTTAGCCTTGTACGAAAATATAGTTACTGCAGAGGGCGTATTGACCGTTCATTAAAGTGTAAGTCAGTGGGCTAACAACAAAATTCTCTCGGATGAAGGAGCTTCGCAAATGTAACACATGTAAACAGTTTTTTAATTACTTTACTGTTAATTAATTATTAATACTAATGTTAGCATTTTCACACTTTTCTGCATAATACTCAATTATCCAATGCGTAGTTTATACAGTTGATTTGAGGTTATATTTCACCCACAATCCCTTGCAGACAAAACAAAATGCTAAACAGTGAACGTATACAAGTTGATAAAGAGTAGATGTAAATTACTTTCTCTTGCATTCATGTAACGCTTTTATCTGAGAGTACCATGCTGTTACTCTGGACGTTCCTTTTAACATGCTACAAATCAAACAAATGTTCACAATTATACGATTTAAGGCGTACATCAAACCAAAAGTCACTGTGAGTAATGTTTGTCTCTAATAAGTACGTTCACATTGTAGTGAGATAGTATCAATCAATCACATTATCATGATGGTGAAAAATATGTCGTCACGGTGTAGTAATTTCCACGCCAACGGTGACTCTAATGGTGAACATCATTGGCTTCACAAATTTGCACATTTGTGTTTATTTCCGGTTGCCTATTTTAACGATTACTAACGCCTACTCAGGGGTTGAGTGCAGAAACGATCACGTGACTGAGTTCAGCAGCTGATATCATGATGCATGCACGTGTATATTAGGTGCGTCGTGTACATCCATAACTTACACTTGCCTCTTGGTAAACCATTCTTATATATCACACACAACATGTAAACCGGCATTATAAAAAACTCATATATTTCTGTTTTAAATGTCGCATAACATTTTTGCATACACCAGACCTATTTTCTAATTTAAAACTTGCAACTTTAGGATACAATGTCTGTAGTTCAAGAGAAAGATACAGTTCTATCGTAACTACGCAAACAATGAGACACTGACACCATCAACCGCAACAATTAACATTTGGTTGGTTCATCAATGAAAATCAAATTATTCCTTAGAAAAGGTTTTGAATTATTCATGAGTAAAGGACAAAGCGTCCGATGTACACTTTATTTTCATTTAGAATTAATGCGGGTGAGACCAACTGTGAAACCACATTTTCTTTTAACGATTAACTCCTCGAAACGATTTACGAATTTCTAACACACTGGCAAAAGAGGTTTATATATGGTATAGTACTCTATGACTCGTTGCTGTTGTTCGAACCATGCTCTTTTTATCTGGTAACTGAATCGGTCAGTGTTCTTGTTGGAAACTGTCAGGGTTTGCCCGTAAATCGACCCGGGAGAGTTACTATTTTAGGCCTGTTTACTGGTTATTCAGGCAGTTTTAGGAAATCGTTCTCTCATGCCAATCGTGCGTGATAGTGCTACTAAATCCTTACTTTTTTAAGGAAACTTTTTTTTAATCTAGTGGCGAGACTCGGTACGCAACCAAGTTACAGAACACAGCCAAGTTATATGAAATATTCACTCTGCTAACTCAGCTAAGCGCTGATCGACGAAGGAATGCAGCGAAGTGTCCCCGTGTTTACACAGGCATTGTATCAAGTGTACACCCGGATCGTGTGTTTTTTTTTCTGATCTGATCATCAGCCCATTGTTCTTCTGCACAAGGAGGATTACATAGCATACGCAAGCATCAACCACGACGAGTTTTGTAGACAAGTTGTCAAGAACTGGTGGACTCGACTATGAGAAATAGTTAGGCAATTGACTATTCGGACGCTTACTGATTAAACTGAATTGGTAAAATTACCCCAAACAATACTGCTTAATCTTTTATGCGTTAACCAATTTCGGGGCATGATTAATCATTGACGTATAACTCGTATGGTATGTTTTAGTGCATATGACACTACAGGATATAATAAACAACCATGTATGCGTAATGTGTAGGCTGCACCAGACAAACATTATGCATCATACTACAGTGCAATTTCATCTTATTTCCAAATCATAACATCTCAATTTGCTAATTTGTAGCACTGTTGCATAACAGTTTGAATAATGTGTTCATATCTTTTGAAATAAAAGAAACAAAACGATTTTATTTCTCTCTAATAACATGGTAAATACATGTATATTCACCAAATAATAATTACATTAGCGTTAACATTACATGAATAATCAAAAACAAATCACGAAACTAATAACAATAATGATGATATGGATGATATGATGTTGATTGAGTAAAAAATAGCTTAGAGCTAGTCTAGTCTGATTTTCTGTGAATACTTAAAAAGTATTTGACTTGGAGAGCTACTTGCATTATTCGTGAAGAACAAGATGGTATCCTACACTAGGGTTGTATGAGTGACAAAACTGAACACAAACATACAGTAATAAAAAACAACAAAATAAGTAAATAAATTGTTTAGTATTTTGAAATTCAAATTGGCCACTACTTTTAAAGATCGGGGGAATTTTCTCGTTGCTATTTATAGTCAGTGGAGTTGGCCTGCTTTTACAAACACAGTTAATTCAACGGGTTCAGTATTAGGGAATCGTGGGGTAATGTTGGAAGCATCTATTAGTATTGTGAGGGCAAATTATCCCAGCCACATGCTTTATTTGAATTTAAATTCTATAGTAGGTTTGTAAGTTCAGCCATATCTGCTGGTTTAAAGGGACCACCGCGCTTTAAGAACGAATGTAAATTTGGATTGTGGTCCTTGCTTTGAATTTGAAGATACCATTGAGAAAATTCGAACAGTTTTCCCCACTAACTTTTCGACATTTTTGAAATAAAAATAAATCGGAAGTGGTCATTTTAAAACCTTTTTTGATTTTTTTGTTGTTGCATTACTCTTATATGGGCTACCTATTTCTGTTCACGAAAAATAAGAACTTTAGCGGTCACTTGACGATTTATATTACCCTTACATTGAAATTGGAAAACAGGGGGACAATCTGCTTGACAACTTACTTCAGAACCACACAACACATTGAACTGAAATTTGTATGAAGGGCAAAGCACTTTATAATTGGTCACGTGTTTTGGCCGCCATCTTAAGTTCCTTTAAATAGATTAGCTGATCGATATAACATTTTCTAAACTGAATTACTTCAGACAGCAGAGAAATTATGGAATCAGTTATGTTATTTGGCCGTTATTTTGGATTTCTATAAAAAATGACAATAATCTTGAGCAATTTCTTTCACGAGTGCTTTAACCAATTTATGTGTACTATATGTGTATGTAGTATCTATGGTCTAAACCGCTTACGAAAAAATAAAATAATTTTGACCAGTGGCTTTTGACGTGATTTGGACGCCATCATCGATTCCCAGTAAAATGGCGAGTATTTGTTTTTATCAATGATTTTGCCAATTGAGTTCAATTGTGCACGTAGTATCTATGGCCAAAGCCTCGAAAAAAATCTGCTTAGTCATATGTTCCCTCTGCCATCTTGGATTTCTGGTAAAAATGACAAATAGTTTGATCATTAGTTCATCATGAGTACTTTAACCAATTGACTAGAGGGTATGCATGTAGTACCTATAAAAAAAGGCTTTTACGAAGAAAATAAAATAATTTAGATCAGTCACATGGTTTGATCGCCATCTTGGATTTTACTTGAAGGATCTCTCTCATTGCCGTTTTTTGCGCAAGCTGTTTGTGAACACCACCGTATTGACAATGTTTTTATTTGATGCACCTAACTTATAAATATGTACCTAATAAATATGTAACACTTCCAGTCAGTGTAGCGCCCTCTTTAGTCAAAACTTTCGTTTGGAATACAGATATTATTGTGCGAGAACAGATTTTTGGATAAAACACCTAGTAGTCCAATATACAGTACTGTACTTGTATCAACAGTAATGTATTTAAGACGTGCCAGTGGTGTTGCTATCGTCCATGATTTTCACCGTGTTTGTGTATTATTATTTTTTATGGGAATATTATTTTCTGTAACTTTCCCTGCATTTTTTAAGCACATCATTTTATATTCAATTATCTCTTCCAACTATAGTGGTCAACCCATTGTTTAAATATAATAAATATAACAAGATAACGTTATATCTAACTACTCCATTTTTGTTTTCCAAGGATAGCAGAAACACAGTCGTTATTGGCCTTAGAGTATGCACTTACATAAATACTGGGGTTCGTCTATCAAAATATATCATAATATTAATCCAGAATATAATACTCTATTTGTTGTATTACGTTATGTGTAAAAAATAAATGTGTGTTTATGGTGACAAAAGTGATATTTTAATGATCCCATATATACAATATAGTATTTTCTATCTGCTTTGCATGCACTTACGTGATACGTGAATAATATCGATGTGTTGAAGTTCAAAATAAGCTATATTTTTTAATAATCTAGTATACACTATATACAATTATCGTGTTTTTATTATAATCTGTCAGGTTTTTAATTTTCATTCAAACATTTGTTTTGAGCTTTTACTTGATTTTATTGAATTAGTTTTCGCGTATCTGTTGACCGACTTATTTAGCTGATTACTAGTGAATGGCTGTGTTATATTTGTCATCATTTAGGCTCATGCGAGGTCCTGGACGGAACTTGTCTCAGTGATTTGGAACTAATTACGAGATAACCGTCGCTATTCGGACTACTATTTCTGACAGTTGGTATTTTCAGTTAGTAATATAGTGAATGATTAATCAAAAGATATGACGTGTCCAGTACTTAGTGTGATTGGCTGTATGGTCGAAGGCCACGCCTTAGAGTCTATAAACTTCTTTTTAATAGGTTGAGTCTTTGATACGTAATAAACAGTCTAAGTCCTTGGTCACGGAGAGAGAGAGAGAGAACTCCACGAGGCGAAAGAGTCTTGGTCAGTGCTGGGCAGAGACCCCGACGAGGCAGTTTGCTTCGAGGCGTTCTCGATGTGGCTAAAGACTAGCTATTGAAACGTATTTCGTTGTGTGCGTCTGTTTGACTGTAAAGCTTAAGTGACTTTCCGGTCCAGTACCTCAAGCAGACGAGATATAGAGACCAGACGAGAATTTCCCCTGACACGTGTTTGAGAAACCCAGACCAGAAGAATTCCCCCGTGATATTATTCTAAAATTGTATGGCATATTGTCGTAATTAAATTCGGTGTTTACATATTGTCATTTCTTATCTGTGATAATATGCGGTGTTTTTGCTTGGTCAATAATGGCATGTTTGATTCTCGTGTCATGAATTTGTTTTTTTGGACGGAACTTGGCTCAGTGATTTGGAACTAATTACGAGATAACCGTCGCTATTCTGACTATCGATTCTCACAGTTGGTATTCATAGTTATTAATGTAGTGAACGATTAATCAAAAGATATGACGTATTCAGTACTTAGTGTGATTGGCTTTATGATTGAAAATTACGCCTTAGAGTCTTTTTACTGTTTTGTAATTGGTTAGAGTTTTGAAAATGAATAAAGAGAGTTTGAGTTGGTCTTGGGGAGTACAGCACGACAGACGCAGTGAGTGCAGTCCTTGGGGCGAGTGTTGACGCAGTCTAAGAGAGTCTTGGGTCAGCCTTGCGATAGTCTTGGGGACTTTTCCCCGGGGCGCTGAGTCTTATAGAGTGCTCGATTGACCGACTAAGATGAGAGCTGAAACGTATTTCGTTGTGTGTGTCTTATTTGACTGTAAAGTAGAAGTGACTTTCCCGATCCCATACCTCAAGGGGACGAGATATAGAGACGAGACGAGCTTTCCCCCTGACACGTGTGGAGAACCCCGTGGAGAAGAATTTTCCCCCTGATACTCGTGTCATTAACCATATGTCCTAAACGAACGAATGCATTATTTAAGGTACCTGTTCTCCATCATCATCACCTTGATTATCTATTTTTTACTGAATGAAAATCATAATGCCTTGAATGTTAGCAAGATGTCTATATCCATTTGTTCATCATCATGCAAATTTAAATAGACAGTTAATATCAATGTATAACTTTCGGATAATTTGAAGTTCCTAAAAATAACTAAGCAAAATTTGGCAAAAAATATTCTAGCCAACGTGTTAACACTACATGTATTATAATAATCTCTATATCTCTTATAGAACAACATGACATAGCCCCCACTTGTAAGATATGATTATAGTTGGCTATGAATTATAAAATTTGAATGTATATGTATAAAATCGGGTAGGAAGGAAGTTAACAGCTAGGACATCTCTATTATCAATTTTAACAAAAAATCACAATCAATTGAATATGGAAATTCAATTGAGTCAATATTAACTAGCAAATACATGAACTATTAGTTCACAAGATATTAAAAAAAATTCAAAAATCATTAAATATGCAAATGAGCTTGTTAAATTGAAACTCAATATTGCATAGCATATATCTCATATTGACAAATCAAGTCTCTACCAAGTTTGGTCTGATTTGAACTTTTAGTCCACAAGATATTAACAAGAATTCAAATTAATAATTCAAAGGAGCTCATTAGTTGATTCCTTGAAAAAAATCAATCAATGTGCATCTGTACCAGTGATCACTCTGTCTTTGTACCAAGTCTCAGCAAAATCGGTCTAGGCACCTCCGAGAAATGATGAAGGACACACACAAAAAACTGTTACAGGATTTCGACATTCAGAATGGCCGCCAGGCAACCATATTTTATCAAATCAGGAAATAAATCCATGTGATATATGTATACCTCCTCACTGTGTCTTTGTACCTAGTATCATTGAAATCAGTCAAGGCATCTCTGAGAAAGATCAATGGACAGACAAATGCCATGATTAACAATCAAAATGCCTGCCAGTCGGTCATATTTGATCATTTCAAAAAAGTAAAACAACGTGCATCTGTATGGGTGGTCCCTTTGTCTTTGTAACAAGTCTCAACAACATCGGTCAAGCCATCTCCGAGAAATGACGATGGACACACTAGGACTGAATTTGACTAAATTTTGGCATTAAAAATGACATCCAGTCTGCCATATTTTATCGAAACGGAAAATAAATTGACGTGCACATGTATGGTTGACCACTATGTTATTGTACCAAGTTTCAAAAAAATCGGTTCCGTCATCTACGAAAAATCACTCCGGATGGACTGACGGTCTGACGGACTGACAGACACACTGAAGAACTGACGAAGGCGAAACTACAAGTCCCCCCGGATTTTGTCAGGGTGGGGCTAATAATATAACTCTAAGTTTAAAAAGAAGTAAATATAATACTGTCTATATACGAACTGACATATATATTAGTTTGCATTCGTTTGGAAAATGTGTGGCATTCGGTGAACTTTATTTCAAATTCCAGCACCAGTAATCCTTCAATGGTCGCAACTACACTATACAAGTATAACTAAAATTACGCCCTAACTACAACTGGCGACATTCTGTACACGGTTTCATTTGCAATTGAAAATGGCAAAATATTTGTATAAAGATAGTCTTATGACATTCATCTAGCTCCTTGGTACATTTGTTCTGAACGTTTTTATTAAAGTATTGTTTAATTAAAAACTGGCAAAAATAATACCCGACATAGCTCACTCGAATGTGGTTGTATCTTCACATTTCTATTTGTGGCAAATATGTTTTGCTTTTTTTTGTATAAAAATTACATTTTCGATTACTTCATATTAAATGTATTCTCTAGTATAATGATATAAATAATAACAGCATAACAAGACATATTACCTGCTTGTAACCAGCAATGCTGTTTGTAGCTAATAATAATATGTATGTGCGCCTATGCCTGCATAACGGGTTTCTCCAGCAGACGATTCACAACAACCAATGTTTTATTCGTATTATTTTCACCAGCATTATTGAGATTAGTCTAGAAGATTATATTACTATCTACCATATCAAGTACATTTCCCCGTAACCAGTCTCAAAATCCTGTTTTTATGTAAAGTCTGTAAAAGTTCAAATTCTTCATTCCAACCATGCATCTCAGAGACAGTTTCTTTTTTCAACTCGTCGTAATAGTGGAAAGGAATGGACTTGCCCTCTTGATCAACGGTGAATGGATAAAAGCCGTACAAATTAACATTTTCACAAAATGCCAATGCAGTTACCACTGCCCTCAGCCCATGAGTAGGTAGGCTTTGTAAATTAAGTATGCTACGAAGAAACAAATATAAAGTGTACGTTATTTAACAAAAAAGTGAAATATTCAAAACAACATATTGGCCGTATATCGTTCAATGTTTCAAGTTGAGTGTCATGTACGTCCTGCAACTTTTTTTCAAGGAATAAGGCATGTTTCTATTTCAATCAACAAGTTGCAACGTGTTGATGCCAGACTTTCGACATGAAAAATGGTATGATCGTCCAATTCACACAGTCTCGCTGAAGTCGACCATCCGTGGCCAAACTGTATTCGACTAAATTGAATGATTGAATCTACCAATCATCGTTGCGGTAACAACAACCTGCATCAATTTCAAGTTTAAACGTCAAATGTTGACCGGTGTATCATGGCCATAACATGTATATTATTGTTGTCGAGGTGCACTACTGTGCCCTCACCGACTGGCTCATTCGCACGCATTCAAGGTAACTGGGGGTGTATCAAGTCCAGCTGTCAGGTATTGAGCCGTAATAAACATGTTGACACGTAAATTCAGTTATGAAAGAAGTATTAAACACCAGGGAACAGTAACAAACTATGGATCGCATTATCCGTTATCATAACAACATCAATGATTACTACAAGTCGCTGTACAGTACAGAACTGAATTCAGATACTGTGCCGTATACGATTCACCTTCACAGACCGTGCCTATTATTAAATTATGTCAATTGTACTGGATCTCGTAAAATGTTTGCAATAAAAATAGTTGAAATATAATATCTTAATTACCTTTTCACCACGTCGTGGAGCCTATCATTTGCGATGTAAGCAACTTGAAAGAGCAGACCATATGTGTTCTTTAGGGACATCACAGTGTTTACCAGCTTATCGACAGAACACCGTCGCATGGGCCCAGGGGCTGTGAACAATAATGATGAATCATTCAAGAACCGAAATCTCTCGATTAATTTCGCGACTGTCATGTTCCCGGGAAGATGCAGTGGTTTATTCTCGTTGAAATAATCGTACAACTGGCACCACATCGCATTATTAATTAACGTCATGTTAGTTTTGTATCCGACGTCGCTTGAGTATTCCTTAATTTCGGGGTTATTGATCCTCATAACAAAGTCGCTGTTGTTGATTTCGTCGCCGCATTTGTTATTCAAAAGGATCCCACCACTTCCGACCAGGGCGCACGTCTTCTGTGGTGAGATAGCGAAAGTGGTTCCTGCATCCTCGTTCGCCCGAAATGTCATATCGCGCACTGCGACGTGTCTCAAGTACGTTCGTGTCACGTTTTCTATTGGCAAAGCTCGCGAGATTTCTTCTCTGTGGGGAAAAACAATGTTAAATGATCATTGTAAACAGAAACTAAGCTAAAAACGAAAATTATTTCACAGTTAAATAATAACTTATTTGATTAGTTCATGAATCATGACCAAATAAAGTCACGTGAACAGCAGACGCGATGACAGGGAAAAACGGCCATATCTCTGTCATGAATTTGTTTTCGCGTATCTGTTAACCGACTTAATTAACTGATTATTAGCGAATTGCTGTGTTATGTCTGTCATCGTTTAGGCCTATTTGAAGTTTTGGACGGAACTTGGCTCAGTGATTTGGAACTAATTACCAGATAATCGTCGCCATTCTGACAGTTTATATCCATAGTTATTAATGTAGTGAACGATTAATGAAAGATATGACGTATTCAGTACTTAATGTGATTGGCTTTATGATTGAAGGTTACGCCCTAGAGTCTTTTTACTGCTTTGTAATTGGTTAGAGTTTTGAAAATGAATAAAGAGAGTTTTGAGTTGGTCTTGGCGAATACTCCACGATAGACGCAGTCGAGTGCAGTCCTGGGCAGTCGAGAGTCGAAGGCAGTCCAGGGGCGAGCCTTGAGGCAGTCCAGTCTTGGACGAGTCTTGGTTCAGCCTTGTGAGAGTCTTGGGGACTTTTCCTCAGGGCGCTGTGTCTTATAGAGTGCTCGATTGACCGACTAAGACGAGAGCTGAAACGTATTTCGTTGTGTGTGCCTTATTTGACTGTAAAGTTAAAGTGACTTTCCCGATCCCGTACCTCAAGGGGACGAGATATAGAGACGAGACGAGATTTCCCCCTGACAGTGTGGAGAACCCGTGGAGAAAAGAATTCCCCCCTGATATCTCGGCGGTCATTTGATCATGAGTTTGCACTATCGATATAGAAGCAGGCGCCTTTCTTAGGCATATATACCAACATGGTAAAGAGTTTTGTAGACCAGCTATCGTCAAATAATATTGATTATTCTACACCACTGTATTGCGATATCTCCAGCCACTGGTATCTCGTCACAATTGAATGCTGAAAGCATACACTGAAAGCACAAATACGTTGTACACTAAACCAACGCGGAGATTACGGTACTATGAATTACGAAACAAAATGGGCGAAATGTTAAATACGTTGCCATGTTGAGAGGCTAAACCACTCTTTGACGGCCTCATAATGGTGATTTTATGTGTCATTTCTAGTTATACTCTGCGTCGTCCGTCGCAATTTTCTACGGTCCCACGTGACCCATTTTATCAAAATGGCGGCTTTCTACCCGTAGTACCCACTTTGCTCATGCAGTTGTGTCTAAAACAATATTTTGGTAATATTTAGCTACCTTTATGTGGTTACGTTTAAACAAAAGAGGTCAAAATTACAGCTATTGTTGCTTTAGGTGATGACGCCTACTTATCGACCCAACCCTGGAATATATTAATCCCAAATACATTGAACTAATTCCCTCTTAGTGTGGTGTTGGGCATTTCGTCTCCCAGTAATCATCGTTTTATATGTGAATTCTTCAAAACAGCACAATAAAACACAACACGGACATAATTTGAAAAACAAAAATTACAATGGTTCAACTAAAATACAGTGGTTATATCTCATTGGGGGAAATCACGATCGAACAAAAAATCACCATATTTTTTTATTTTTGTATCATTAACCTATTGCAGTTTATTATATGTGGGCGTATATCGCCTCTAAAATACGCAATATATTTATCTAGAATAAATATTGTGCCCATGTTTATGTGTCGGCTGCTGGAAAAAGTTCAATTAATTCCCGTTTTAATGAATGGGTAACAGCTGTTTTGAATATGTCCTAGTGGTACGTAAAACAAGACGCGAGAGCTTTCGCAATGTAGAGTATATTTACCACTGGACAATGAAGAAGCACATTTACAAAAATAAATCGTTTCTTTTGCTGAAAAAAACAAGATTAGGGTATTTTACGAAACTAATAACATATTGCAAGCCCAGATTTAGAAAATTTAAAATTGCCAAAAATCACTGACGGGGTAGTATGGGTTTAATTCTATGCATGTACATTCACATGATGCTATACTGTACGTAAATTGCCTAGTTGTAAGCAATCTGAAACATATCTATTCTAACTACCTTATTGCTTATATATTACGAAGCGCAATTACAGTGTCCATACCTTTTAATTAAACCATTCTTGTTATCTCCTTCAACGGAGAAAGAGAGTCGATCGACTGGTATTTCTGGTAGGTCTTTGAAAACAATGACGGCATATATTAAGCAAACCGCAACCACGAGCTGAGCGGAACGATGTAAGCCCTTTTTCATGTCAGTCATTGGAGTACTGTTCTGTGCAGATACATTGATTGAATAACCAATGACAACAGGCAATAAATAACCGGCTTTCCTGCTATAGTGACAGATGCAATTAAAAAACGATTTAGTTCTGTGGGGCCTTGCCATGACTTTCGCCAGTTTCAATCTGTGCCACACAGCCGACGCCAGACAGAATGGTTAATACCCATGGCAAGCGAACCATACCTTGACTGACATAGACGGGGTTTTGTGTCATATGTTTCTTCAATATTGAGATTATTTTTTCAGCAGTCAAGAGTCAATCCCCGATGGAACCACGGTATTTGAAAGCATTTATTGCATTAGGCTTCGTTTCATGCAAACGATGTAAAGCCCCTCAAATACTAATTGCATTTATTAATATGAGGTTATTACGAGGATACATTAAAGTACATACGAATACAGTACAGCGGAGGTCGATGCGACGGAGTCTGAGTGTATACTTTGAGGTGTAGTAACCAGTTTTTTTTGCCTCTGACAGATAGTAACCGATCATTTAAATTTTCTCGTCCGGCTTTCAGTCTGAACTTGTGTATGCAATCGTCACCATATTAAACAGCGAATCATGTTATAATGCTTTCCCACGATGTTATATATATATATATATATATATATATATATATATATATATATATATATATATATATATATATATATATTGTGTGTGTGTGTGTGTATGT